ATAAGAGATATAGCTAGGTCGAAATAAAGTTGGGGAAAAAAAAAAAGAAAAGAAGAAGAGAAAATTATAAAGTGCAAGGATGCATGAAGAGAAAGAACAAAAAGCAAGTAGCATACCTTTTTGCGGTAGCTAGAAGGCTTCCCACTTTTCCTCTGAGACAAGGAAATGAAGACAACCGGTAACGCAGGAAAAAAGGCAGACAACTGAGAGAACAAGCAATACTGCTGATTTCTTCGCTTCAAGGGCACGACGTCGTACCTAGGTTTAAAGAGGGGGAGAGAGATGGAGAGAGAGAGAGAAAGATATGGAGGAGACAGTGAGAGAGAGAGAGAGAGAGAGAGAGAGTTATGGATGAGTTTAAAGCCTAACTTCTGACAGAAGAATATGGGCAAAGAAATAAAGAAACAAACAATAAACAATAAACAATAAACAAGATAAAAATAATATAAGCTAATTGCATACGTAAAATTAACATACTTGTTAACACACTAGCTAATGCATGTGAGCCTTTCACCAGTATTAGAAGACATGTTAGTAAGCCTGTTAATTTTGTGTGTCCATATATGTTACTTATATATTACAGCTAGTATTATTGTCATGAAATATGGGAAAGAAGAAATCTAGAAAATAATTAAGTGAACGAATAATATTAGGGAGATCACTTTTTTGTACTCCATGGTATACCACATGGTGTGACAAATGATGTACGTATCCAACATCTAATGAGATAAAGAGTAATCCTAGGTAGACCATATATTCATACAACACTTGTGCACTATCTTATGCGGCAAGTGATGCTACAATCAACCTCCAATGATATTAATTCATTAAATGAAGTGACATGCATACATAATTTGCCACATCAATGGTAAGCTGGTACAAATATATGATCTCTCTAGCATTTTTCAATGAGATAAATATATCAATTAACATGATTTGTACACATCACTTATCTCATCAAATGATATATTCATCTGGTATAAAAACATAGTCTCCATATTGTTTTCTTTAAGTTAATGTATGGAAAGAAAAAAGGATGTAATTTTTGGTGAGTTAATAACGTATGAGGCGGGCGGTGTCTTGTTGTCTCATGAGGGTATGCTGCGTAGGGGCTTTGGTAAATGTCGTTGAACGGGAGACCTTAATCCTCAATAAAATGAAGAAAATCTGCAAGAATGTCAATTTATTCCCATTTAGTACAGTCAATTTTCTTCTTTCCCCATTTTTAAATTATATTTTTCGTTTTTTTCTATCCAGTTTTATCTTTTTGTCTTCAGTTACGCATGCTCATAGTATTTGGTCAGAGCCCCTTATATTCCAAATCTAGTTCGTATATGCTCTTTCCATAAACCATGTGACCCTTTTGCTCAAATATTATTCATGGAAATTACTATATATATATAGCTACATTTGCACTACTTGTTCTTTTCATGCTAAATTATTTAATAATTTAATTTTCATAGAAGCTAGAAATTTTCTTAAAAGCTGCGGTCAAACCCAAAGGATGTACGTTTGATCATCGACTGAGTGCCCTGAAACGCGTTCATCAAATGACAAAATTTGCATCAAATTCAGTGCAAACGAGAAACTTGAGAGGTTCCTCATTTAGTTGTTCAAAACATGCATGCATGCCATATTACTTATTTACCCATCCCCATTGCCATTGGCAGTGTTTTAGGGTAATGGGGCGCTGTGCTGCATGCAATCGACGACCATGATCGAGGACTTTGATGCATATCATGATTCCGGATCCTAGGCAGATTTTAAAATGTTAAGTATATGATCAGTAAAAGAAACCATAAAAACCACCCAAATTGATGAAGGTATATGTATGGCGTGTCCTACCATACCATTCAATAGGATTGCAACCAATGCCAAAGCTAGCTATATATCTCCGCTAGTCCACTTGACCTGATAATGATAATGGTACCACGTCAGTTTCCGATTATGCTACAACTTCTCCAGGATAATGCAACTCATCCTAAAAGGATATGAACTATTTATGTATACATTGACCTAATTATATCTTCCATATATCACACTGTAATGACAGTTTAACCATGTCGATTTCTAATTCTGTTTAACATCGTGTTTTCTATGAAGAACTTATTAGAGCATTGATTCTTATGTTTGTCTAACTATTAAGTTAACTGTTATTTTATGTAACACTAGAGTTTATCTTTGATCATTAGTTTAATTAAAAGTCCTTGCATAATTGAATGAATAAATAAATGTTCTCTTAACAGACTTAATTATTTTACCGAACGATACTTATATTGTTAAATTATGAATCTAAATTACACATTTAATAAATAAGAGACGAAGTTTATTGATAGTTTAATAAATCACAAATTCTTAATCTAACAACACAAGCATATTGACAAGAGAATATTTCTCTACTACATATATATTCAATAAGAATGGAAAAAGCTCCCCGATATTGAACCTGGGAGCCTTGTGGGGTGAGGAGGTAATTTAAGTTTTAAAAACTAAAACATCACAAAAGAGATGAAGAAAAATCATATTATATATATGAATATGGATGATAAGAAAGCAGAATGCTTAAAGTCCGTGGCATTTACACGTGCTGGTTCAACACAGAATACACAATTCAAGGCCTCGATTAGATTAATTTAATACCAAATGCAATGCAAGTAGCCGGGATTGGGATGGCTTTGTTTCAGTTCTATTCAGACCCAAAGGGATTCCCACGCGATCTTCCATATATAAATATTATCATTCTTATTTATATATCTGTATGCATATATTTCCTGGTCAAACACGCTGAATGAGTGCACCTGTGTTACATAAAGAGAAATGTTAAAAAAAACTTTCTCAAAATGAGATTCTTTATAGATTTTATGTTACTTCATGTTTTAAACATAATGTCTTATAATGTTGATACAGAAATTAACGTTAAACTGTGGTGTGTCAGAGAATCCATAAAGATTCCTCTTTAAGAGAGTCTCTTTAGCGTAAAGAGTCAATAGAAAGTCTCACTTTAAAAGAGTTTTCTTATCATTTATCTTATATAAGTACACATACTACTTTACTTCAAGCAGTAAGAGTAGTACTGGTTTCTGATACATATTGGTTATGTATGTATATATATACATATTTATTTGTATATTATTTACATGCAACAACACAGCTGGTGCCGTTGCCTTTACGAACACTGCTACATACTTCATTCCTTCATTCACAGCATTAATTCATCAAATATAGAATGGAATTCTATGGAGTATGGGAGCTTCTATTCTCCTCGCATCATGAACCCTAAACGCTCTTTTCCATGATGCTTGTTGGACTTCCAACAATCATTTATTCATGACTCTGGAGTCTGGTCAGCACCCAATTAATTTGCACCTAGATGCATGCAAGTATTTATATTTTTGAGAAGTCTCGTATTGGTCCATTAAACCACAAAATCTTTCTTCACTAGCACAATGTACATGTGGATACTGTCTTTGGTTATTGGGTAATTACAAATTTGCCTGCTTAACTTTGGAGTTGTACAAATTTGGTCCTTAAAAACAAATTTTGGTTCCAAGTTGATCCCTTAAATTCTTCGAAGTGTTTCTATTGTGGACAACAATAATGTTAGTTACAAAAAGTTGATAGGGTTAATTAGTGGTGAGCAAGATTAAATTCAACCAAATTTTTTTGGTCGAAACCTATTATTATGTTGACTATCAACAAGGAAAGATCCTAAACCGTCACAGTTTCTATAACCGTTAGAGAGATAAGAAACAAAGATGTAAAGCTGACTAGAGGGTTCTAGGTTGATCATGTGTTTAGCAAACCGTGGTATTACTTAAACTACTCTAATTGCGACACCTATAAAAAGTTATTCCAATCATATTCTCCGATCAAGTTAGTATTACCATTGGCTTTTCTAGTTTGATTTGTTTTGGTCGGAATAGCGGTTCAAAACTAATAGAAAGTGTGTGCAGCCTTTTCATGTTTTGGATTCCTCATTTCATCAAATGATAATTTGTTCTAGTAAACTAGGGTTTTGGGGAGCCTATAAATACATTTAAGGGTTCTAGTAATACAATAATTAGCCTTGTTTCAATTTAAGCGTGTAACAGTGTATTTTATGCAAATTTGCAATGTAGTAGCATACGTATTAGAGAAATATTGTATGGTTATTGTTTACATGCAACAACACTTATTGGTGCCGTTGCCTTTACGAACACTACTAGATTATAAGTATACACTGCATTAATTTCATCATTAAACATGTAATAATATGGGAATCCCATGGAGTATGGGAGCTTCTATTCTTCCTCGCATCATGTTCCATATATAATATATGCATAGATATAATACATATACATACATACATACATATATATATATATTATGTATCGTACGCTCATTTCCATGATTCTTATTGTAGCTCCAACTCCAACAATCATTAACCCACTCCACTCTCTCTGGTCAGCTCTAAATTATTAATTTGCATGGCGACCTAGATGCATGCAAAGTGAACACTCTTATGGCGCGTTTTGTGTTCGTCCCATTAAACCACAAAATCAAACGTCTACTATTTGACTTTTCTATTTGGATACAAGTCCTGAGATTTAACATAATAAAATATACTTGTCACTAAACTACAGTCTATTGATATGGTAATTATTTCTCACTTGTAATTTAGAAATTTTAGGTTTGACTTACATAAATAACAAGTTCGGTACCTAATTATTATCGCTTACTATTTTATCTGTCTTAGCCAAAGCCCCTTAAATTAGAGTATTGTTGCTTCAGAAAAGGATTAGGGTTACATGTCATGTGGTACATCTGAATGTCAAACAGAAAGCTGTACCGCAACTACAAGCAGTCAAAGTATGGTTGCATATGAAAAATTGGAAAGGGGCATGAGTAACCAGAAAGGAGCAACGTGATTTTCTCTTGGTCATACGAATCTACTGTACCTTGGGTTTCCCATGATGTTGCAAGAATCTAAAAATACCGTGCAAAATTCAGAAACATAAAAAGGGTGGTAACGCTTGATCAGATCTTATATATTTGGGATGCATGTAGCAAAAACTGATACATTAGAGCAAAGCTGACCAAGTTGTTGGTTGTAAGCTTAAGATACAAGTAATGTATACATCTTAGTATAGGCTGTTTCAACCTTCACTCGTTGGATTAAACCTCAGCTGATGCAGCATTCTTTGTGATCATGCGATGTTTGGGGATGCTCCGTAGTTATCTCCAAGAACATGATGGGTGGGTGTTTAATGGATCGCATTCACAACAAAAGCTAGAGTACTCCGTCAAGAAAAAGGTTCGCATGGTCTCCATTGCTTCACACTGTCTGTCAAAGGACCTGTTACTGCAGCAGACCATGAATTCAGTTCTGGCAAAGGTCCCGTCAGTGCGAGATAATTTTCACCAAAAGTTTGCGGCATTTTCTTCCAGCTTACCTGTGTTATTCATATATCAAACTGTGAGCTTTCTTCAATATAAGAGGCATTAACCTAGTAAATGAAACAAAAATCTGATTTACTCAGAGCATGAACAAAGACAATGAGATCCATGTAAGACTTGGAGAATGCATGCACAGAAAAGCTAAGAAGCTCAAATTAAAGACTAACAAATTGGCGCCCAAAATTATCATAGCATTTTAACTACAGAATTCAGTACAAGGGATAAGCGATGGTACCCCAAAAAAAACTCAAAACATATTTCAAAGCAACGAGCAGATTAAGTTGAATTTTCTTTGTATAGATTGTGTATATACTGCATGTTTTCTCTGTATCAAGTTTGGTATCGTAAAAGCAGAGGACACTTGGGGTGTTCAGTGGAAAGTAATTGTTTCAGTTCAGTGTTACTCAAAACTTAAATCCTTAAACTTAGGAAATGACCAACCACCATGAGATTCAAGCACATAATTACTAATCAGACAAACAATCAAAGCTTCATTACCAAGCTAAGTAACCGTTGACTAAAATCAAAGAAATTTGATCCCAAAATTTAAGCTGAAAAACACAAGCCCAATAATTCATATAATTTATATCAACACGACACACCAACAAGTTCATTGTGTTTTGTGCTTATGCACAAACTCAAATACGGATACAGGTGCACGAGCACCACCTAACTTGTTAGCTCTAGCCATGATTGAAGATAACCCTTGGAAACTATGAAAGATAAGTGATTCAAGACTAAAACATTCGGATTTGAGCCATTCTAATTTCACAGAACAGAAAAAACATGCCGATTATATTTTTGGACTTTTCAATAAACAAGAAAAATAGCTCATCTTTCTCATCTGTTATAATAGTATCTAAACTTCGGTTTGTAAATATGATTAGAATAAACAAATTAGTGCAATCCTGATAAGTAATTAGATGTTGCAAGCTGGAAATACTTAATCAAAAGATTTTCAAGCCAAAAAGCCCTACTTGTCCGGGGAATGCTTTAGATAATGCCTGGATAGTAGAATTTGGCAGCCAACTGTCATCGGTGGATATATTTTTTGGATGAGCTGTTCCATCCCTGACATCAGATGGTTCATCTATGCCGCCACAATTCACCATTAGGCGGCCATAGGGCATCAGCTGAATCTTTAATTCCAACCAAGTTGTAACCTGTCATATAAAATACAATATAATCATAACTTAAAAGTTTAAAACACAAGGTAACGTGTGATGTGGTCATAATGGAGGACAACGAAATTATCAAGACATATAGGCAGTTGGATACATCATAGCTTATTTTGGAAGAAAGGACAGCTGTGCGATAGCCAAAATACAATTAGCAAGTATGAAAGTACATAGTAGCTAGTCCTAGCGAAATTACTAGGTTGTACAAATCTTAGATCCAGATTGTTTCTTACCAGGCTCCTACCTTAACACGTAACTTGAGCATACATAATAATTGGACATTTTGTTGGTTTCAATCTTCATTAGCTGTATTAAACCCTAAAGTCAGACTTCTGCAAAACGTCCTTAAGTGCGTGAGCCTGTTGATTGTTGTACAACTTACAATTAATTGATCTCAAAACTTAGATTGCTTATAACTGAGCTTTCAACTAATATTGATCCTGCATTTAACAACATTTAACATCACTTCCCTATGGGTCCTTCCTTTATGACTTCCTTTTTCATTCTCACATCCATGTTTACAAGGGCTGTTTTCTCTGGCCAAGTCAAAGCAGTATTCTGAATGACATTCGATGATTTCTTCTGCAAATTCAAGTTGACTTTTTTAAGTCTATACCATACATGTTTCTCTCTCCTTATTTCCTTGCTCCTCCTGTTATTCCTTGATTAAATAACTGCATTCTCTGCATAAAGCATAAATTCTCATGGAAATTTCACTACACCCCTTCAAAATACTTCTTCTAGGTCTTTCTAATGGAACTCAGAATAAGGTTGTTCAAGGGGATAGCATTCTCTATATGTTTCCAGATATTGGTGTGTAAAAAGTGGGATTGATGACAAGATCATCTGGAGATGAAGTGTATCAAATGTTGGAAAAGTAACAAGTCAGATAGCAATCTTCATACCTCTTGCAACTGTGGCAAAACTTTTCCATCAGAAAACAAGTCAATGACAATGCCTGATATTTGCTGCAAGAACAAGATAGCAATACAGTAGGACAGAACTGTAGGGAATTGCAAAAAATGAGGCATATACAATGTATGTACTTGGGAAGTATGCACAAGAGTACATAAATTACAAAACAAACCCTCGAATCTGTCCACAACATCCTAAGAAATTTAAAATGTGAGCCAGGTAATACAACGAGCCATGTAGACAAGGATCTCACCAGCATATCCTCCAGGAATATTAACTGAAGGAGAAAGGGCATCACCAATATGAACATTAAGTACGCCACCAGCTTGAGTATGCTTCTCAAGATCAGACAGTCCAAGATATTCTCTTGCTTTATCAATCAACTAAAAACATTTGAAATTTTGAGTAAGGAAGCATTCACCGTACTAACAGATCATAGCATATATCAGCAAATATGATTTACCAAGATTAAACATATGAAAAAACTGAAAATTACAACCACGATGGATCCCGTATATTAGTTTAATCATATGTCCAAGTACATATTCAGCAAACAATGCAGCTTAGTGACTTTAGTCGTGAGAGCCAAACAGATGAGATAGTACAACTTCTCAAGGTAACATTTTTAAGAAATGGACTGCAGACCAAGTAGCCTGTTTAGTGATATTTTTCTTGTCCGTGATGTTTACACTGTTAATCTAAATGTTGTTAACCTTGTGCGTTTGACTTTTTCAGTAGTTCAGCATATTTTTCAGCTATTTGAGATAAGAGTCATGTTCATAACTTAATAAATTTCAAAAGAAATTTTCTCACAGCTAAATAATTTTCAGCACATATACTTGGTTTTTCTATTTCTTCCAGAAAGAACTTGTTAGGATTACTATTCTTAAAGGTGCCGCTAAGGGCAATGACCTTAGATAGTGATGCCACTGTATTCCACGAATATAAGATTTTCAAGCCCAGTTAGGGAAACATTGAGATGCTTTACATGTTCTCTCCTAGACAATGGAGAGATACACTGTGCTAGCAGGCCCACACCATCAGCATGATTTCAATCCGGTGGCATATGATTTGAAAATTCCCATGACATATTCACGTGTTACGATTCCCATGACCAATAAATGCACTAGTAATGCTAGACAAGAGAATATTAGACCAAAAGTAGAGCATCTTGGCATTGCTGCAATAGAATTGCAGCCACCAACAAATTACATCAGAATTGAAATAAGATGAAGCGCATAGAACTGCTTAGTACTAGAGATGTCTACGTAGATAATGCTTCAAACTGAAACAAAGCGATTTTGAATCCTTTGGTCGATAGTCTGAATGTGCTCTTTAAGTTACCACATGATAGTAATTCAATGTCATGAAAAAGCTTTCTCTTATATATGTAGAGTTCAAGTAGTGCAATTATGAAAGATTGTTCAAACCTATGAAGTCAAGTCAAATGCTTTTCAAAACACTCACAATTTGATCAATTTCCCAACCTTCGAGCTGCAATGACGGCCACAAGTCGAGCATCAGATGAGCAGCTGTTCCACCACCCTGCCGTGAACAATTCAGCAACATTTGTACTTGGGAAAACACTAGTTACAATACGAAAGGATTTTCACAAGATGCTCAACATTTGTCCAAAATGAAATGAATTACCAAGCCAAGGATGGCAATAGGACCTTTCGGAACAATAGCAGGCAAGCTAGCAAACTCATCCTGCACAATACAATACAAACACAAAGACTTTCTTTCACATATTAGAGCGATACTCTAATCTAATCTAAACTACATAAGTAAGATCCGAACTTGGGTGCGTAAACACATTGAAATACACATACCCAGTAGAAAGCAGTCCACTTCTGGTCCTTGTAAACAATGCTATGCACATCATCTGGACGAACCCAAAACAAAAACAACATTTAAATGCAGAACAAAATAATGGGTAACAATCGGACTGAGGAAAAATATGTAAAGAAACACATACAAGAAGAATCGAGGAGCAGCATTCTCGATTTCGGAGTGTCGACGATTACAATGTCGTTGAAACCGCTTTTCATGGCCGTCAGAACTTGAAATTCTTCTTCTTCCTCCTCCTTTTTCTCTTCCACTTTCACTGCTTGGTTATCTGCATTGGAGGCTTGTGTCTTGACTTTTCGGTTCCCATGACACAACCGAAGCGAAACGGAGGATGTTGCTCCACAGGGATGTGAATGGTATAGATAACTCGTAGCAGGGGCGTGAGTTCGACTCGGACCGAGTTGTTGGGCGCGTAGGACTAGCAGGCTATTAGTTAGCAGAGCCATCGCTGTTTTCAATTCCATCCCCAGCAGCTTCACTTCACTGTTTCTTATCCGTTTGTCGGTTTTCGGTATTTTTAAGGGATGTGGTCTCTCAGAAAAGTGCAGGGCCACCTGCGGAACTTTTGTTTTGAAATTGTTCGGCCGGGTGCCACCGAACATCCTTCAATTCAGTTTATTTTTTTATGCTCGGCAGAGTGTTACCGAATTACTAGTTCGAGTTCGGGTGCTGGTTTGCTGAACATTTCAGCGAACCTAGAACTACTCAAAGTTGGTGAGCAGTTGGATTTGAGCACTTAAAACATTTAGTTTAGAAACTTAACACCATTATGATTTGAATATCTGCACTGAACTTTTTTTTTTGGAGTTCGGACCATGAGTAATCATTTTTTTGGACATAATGTTTCTTCTTTATTAAATGACGGATTGTTGATAACATATTAATAACAAAATGTATTAACATGTTATCGATACATTATCTTCAACACTGATATGAAACCCGTCATTTATCAAAAGATGAACAAGCTTGATTACAAAATGCACTGATCCAGAGAAAGTAGTGGCCAATGGGAATGCTAATTTGGGCAATACATCTAACCATAGAGAGCCAAAACATATATAATATATAGTTATTACTGCCTTAAAAACAAGACAAAAACAAAGGGTAGGGATCTGCATGGGGGGTGAAGAAGGGGCAACAAATGCCCTGCACAATTCTGAGTGCAGCACGTAGACTTTGACAAGCTGAAACCTGCTTTTCAAAAAACACCACAGGACTCGGCTCTCTCCTCCATTCTTTCTAACGTTTGTGTCTTTGGATGGCTGTATATCTAACCATATATCAAAAGACTGTACAAACCAATCCTATCATATTGTATCACCTAAAACCCCTGCTAATTAGCAATAATGATAATAATCGTCCCCTAAACCACACCACAAACAAAAGATTATTTCCTACTAGTTAATATTGAATAGAGGCATCAACTGCCTTCACAAGTGCATCCCATTGAAAATGCTGTAAGCACCGTCTTGTGCTCGATTGGTGAACTTTGTTACAGATCCGTTTTGGTATGCTTTTGCTGCTCCATTTGGGACATTCCTTCCACATGCTGCTTGGAATATATGATTGCCTGCTCCATTTGGAACACAAGTCCTTTGGGACAACATGTCATTGCTTGCTCCATTTGGGACAATATTCCTTTGGGACAGCATGTCATTGGCAGCTAGATTTGGGACGTTTCTTTTGCTCTCGGAGCCCTGCAAGAGATTGTCCAACTGCCCACATGCTGCTGCTACAAGCCCTGCACGATATTACAAAATTGATGGTTATTTACAAGGTTTTGTTTTACTTCTGCAATCTGATGCACGTCGTGAGTAGAGAAGAGTTTTGAATTCGGGTTCTCAAAATTGGCATAAAGTAAGATTTGAATGATCAAACTGCGGCAATGAGGTACACAACCTGAAGAACCATCATCTAGCTCAAATATGTTACAACACTTTTAGCTGTAAATTGGATCAGGCTGGTCAACTTCAGAAATTTTCACCTTATTATGTTGAGAGTGTGAATTCCACATTGGGGAATTAAAGTCTCATAGCGGTTTAAATGATCTTGCGCCTCTCTAACTATAGAGTCTTAATGGAACATTTGAACTATATTGCATAATAATTAAGCTTGGCCTAATTTTTAGAGGAACAATATTGAGCACTCTTAATTTCAAGTTGAGTACCAAGTTACCAACTGCTATGAATAATCAGTTTTTGTTTGTCTCTAGCTATTTTTAGAATCTCAAGTGTAGAGATTGGATCCAATGGTTGGAAGGTTAGTGATGATCAAAACTTTCAACCAAAAACTAGCAGTATGTGTGGTGTAAGTCTCAAGTTTATGTAACGTCGTATGACTGAAACAAAAAGCTGAGTTTACAAGTTTAAGGATAAATGAGGCATGTACCTAAGAATAGAGCAGAAGGTTTTCCAGGCCTCGATTTAAATTCAGGATGGAACTGGACACCGATGAAATATGGATGATTACGCAGCTCAACAATCTGTGATTTTGATATACCAATTGTTACCTCAGAATCACTGCAGTATACAAATCCATTTGATTCTAAAGTTGAAAAGACAGAATGAAAGTTTATACCTCCATGCGTTGGCCAGTTTCATCCTTGCCAGTAAAAGAGAGGCCGGAATTTTCAAGGCGTGCTACCATTTCAGGATTAACCTGAATATCCAACAGAATCAGTCCTCCTGACAAAATTAGTGTCATAGAATATACAACTGTTTGCATTGGGATGTTATGTACCTCATATCTGTGCCGATGTCTCTCATCAATGAAGCGTTTGTTTCCATATCTAACAAAACGGAAATTGCACAGATTAGCCAATATAGGCATCTCATTCAGCATGCTGGTACCCTCTGATTTTTATGTGTATTAAATCAAGTTACTGATTGATCCTTGCAGATCAATAATTTCCTCAGAAACTTTGATTCTCATGAAAAAGTACGAGTGAAGATTCAAACAGATGTGATCTATGAAAATCAAATGCGTGTATTCCGTTCCAAATTAGTACTCACAGTTTAGCTGATTTGCAGTCTGTAGACTGAAAATATGTTCTCCTGGATCCAACACGCATCGTGCCTCCCATATGAGTTTTCGAGCCCTGCTTACATGGCACAGATATCAGATAATGGGAAAAACAAGATAAAAGTCCATTCGCTGAAAAATTCAAGAAATACAGACCTCAGGCATGAATATAACACAGGGATTTTTAGTGTCAGGATCAAATTCTGCACTATGAGCATCTTTCAGACCAAGAACAGATCGTGCAAACTCAATCACAGCAACCTGCATTCCTAGACAAATGCCAAGGAAAGGAATTCTCTTTTCCCGAGCGTATTTTGCAGCAAGAATTTTGCCTTGCACTCCTCTGTCACCGAACCCTCCGGGAACAAGAATACCATCTGCACCCTGAAGAAAAACGCCAGTCAGAAGGGTAACAAAGAAAGAAACTACAACGTAAGAAGGCTATTAAGCATCAGTACAAACCTTCAATAACTTCCATGCAGCTTTGTAGGCATCAGGATTCTGCAATATGCACATTTTCTGTCAAGTTTTTATCTAAGGTAAAATGTACATAAATTTTACGAATAAATATAATATATAATAATAACCTCTTTTGAAGTTGCTTCTTCAAGGTCTTCAGCCGAAACCCAATCCACGAAAAGTTTCTTGCCGCAAGCAACAGAAGCGTGCAAAAGAGCCTGCAGAAAGTAGTACAGATTTTACATCCAGCACCATCACCAATTTGCAAACCATCTAATAAACTCAATCATACATAATATTTCAGAATTTGAGTGTCAAAATGAAAGCAAAACAATTAACACTTGCTAACAGAATTAAGTGGTAGCTAGGTGCACCTTTTGTACAGAGAGGTAGGCATCTGCAAGGCTTGTATACTTTCCGACCATGGAAATGCGAACCTGTTACACAAATGACATTGGCACTTCAAGTTTCCACCAACAGACAGACCTAGACGCATGACATTAGGAATTGCTTGGGTCTTGGAACCTACCGGCTCATGCAACTTGTCACAAATTTCAGCCCTAGAAGTCCACTCTTCCAATTCAGGTTCCTTTGTTAATCTGCACATTATGGATGAATGTTTGAAAACTAAAACGCCACGGCAACTGATGAATAGGATTCCATCCCAAAATTACATGGCAAAAGAAAAAAGAGAGAAGAGTTCATTGGACAAACCCTTGAAGGTTGAGCACTTTGAAGATTGCTTCATGAGCTTTCTGATCCTATTTGACCAGAAGCGTGTGATAATTAGAGATTCAAAATGATTTAAGAAAGTCGATACATTTCAGAATTTGTGGAGAACAACTTACTCTTAAAAGTAATGGAATGTGCCAGATGTTGGGAACGTCGTAGAGAGTGATGATGTTCTCTTTCTACAAAATATTTAGCATTGGAGTTTTAGTAAAGTAAGCATCTTACAAAGCAGACAGACAAGATTTCAAGTAAAATGCTTGAACTAAATTTTTTCAAACATTTACCTGTACATGGCAGAATTGACTGACTTTAGTCTTCACGTTCTCTTTTAATGCCTGTAAATTTAGAACCTTATAGGCAACATGACAAAGAAAACATTGGGCAGCATATGTGCGCGTTTGTGTGTGTGTGTGTGTGTGTGTGTGTGTGTGTGTGTGTGTGTGTGTGTGTGTGTGTGTGTGTATGTATAGAGAGAGAGAGAGACCATTGTGCTGCGACAAGCTATGATATGTGGTGTCAAACCCAGACATCTCAGTCCACGAACGCTGTGCTGCGTTGGTTTTGTTTTCTGAACATGATTCGATACATCCATTAGAGCAAAGTAGTTTTTTTGTTCTCAATAACAGAAAAATTTACCGAGTTATAAGAAGCTTTACCTGCTCACCAACAACACTCAAAACAGGCACAAGGCTCACATGAATCAAGCAAAAGTTGTTACTACCTGAAATGGAAAAAAAATTCAACCAAGTTTTCAGAAAGAATTTACATAATGTGTCATCTGAAGTATGTAATACAATTTGCTTACCGACGCGATATGAGAACTGTCCTAATGCCTCAATGAAAGGCATGGATTCAATATCACCTGCAACCATAAATGTTTTTAGTAATTTAAAAGAAATCAAGAACATTGTTGTGAAATATATATATATATATATATATATATATATATATATGTACGTATGTATGTATACCTATAGTTCCACCCAATTCTATGACACAAACATCTGCTGCACCTGACTCTCCATCGACTGGAATTTTGGCTACACGCTCGATCCACTCTTGGATTGCATCTGTGATGTGAGGAACAACCTGCAGAAAAAGAAGGGGAAAAATATGAGAAACATAAGGACTAAATAAATATAGTACTATGGAGTCAAAAGTTAGAGGTAGGCAAAAACCTGGACAGTTTTTCCCAGATAATCTCCCTTTCTCTCTTTGTCAATAACCTCCTGCGACACAAGAAAGATTTTTGGAATATGCACTAGTAGGTATTATGTAGATTGTAAATATAATATACACACACAGCCACACATATATATCTATACATATTCACTTGCCTGGTAAATCTTTCCAGTAGTAATATTATTATCGCGGGTCAGCTTGATATCTA